GACAAGTTTATTTAAAAAAATGACTAAATATTAAATGTCAGTGAAGAAAGTTAGGAGCAAATAATGTGTATTTATTTTAAGTGGTTCCGGGTTAAGATATCCGTTTTAATATTAATTACGTTAATAGTTTAACGATGATACCAAAAAGGTTAGTTATTAGTATATTTAAATGGTACATAATGTTCCACGATTGACACATGATTAATTAAGAATTTCGGGTTATGAAGTTATATATTACTGTAATATTATTCTTAAGTAAAAGATGATTTATTGTTTTATAATTTTAATTATAAATAATTTCTTGATATTTGGGGTACCATATTATATACTTTTATTGTATTAATAAAATGATATCATAAATAACTTAATAGCAAGAGATCACTAAATTCACTGCGTCCCAATTGCTAATCACCTTAAAATCAACATTGTAAAAATATTTTTTATAAAAAATATTTTTCAGCATGTTATTTTTTTTAAGTTATTTACAGAAATAAATAAAGCATAGATATGTGAACATTCTTTAAAAACGTTGCCAAACAAAGCTAAAATTAAACAAAAATTATTTATGCAGTTTTAAAAGACTAATTTATTCAGAAGAGTTGACTTGTTTTATTTAAGTCGTCAAGACCTCTTATTACTAAATATTTGTTAAATGTTACACATGATTAATAAGAATTCGTTATGAATTATATATTACTAATTTTCTAAGTAAAAATGATATGTTAATTTAAAAAAAATTGATTGGGGTACCATTTATACTTTATGTAATAAATGATATCAAAATAACTTAAGCAAAATACATAAATTCACCAATGTACTTCACAAAAAACATTGTGGCATCCTCAACTTTTATTTAACTCGTGAAATACTTCAACTTATAAAATTGTATCTATTAAATACTTTATTTGACACATTAAACACTTAAATTTATAAAATTAAATCGATTAAACATTTACTGAAAAATTAGAAAATATAAAATTATTGTTCAACATATCAAATCAATATTTTACATATAAAAGCCAAAAAACGATAAAATTTACTATTTTTAGTGTGAGGAAGTATGAAATTATTTAAAAAATAAAATTCAAAGTACTACAAAATCGATTTTATAGTTCAAGATGCTATGAAATTTTTTTATCAAAATTCAAGGATTAAATGATATATTCAGCTAAATAACATAATTGCATGGTTTTAGTGCATGCTTCTATCTATATTTGTGTAAATTTATATAACCACTCCGAGGCACTCTGCTACCGAACTAAAAAAGATATGTTAACAACATTAAATTTTGAGAAATACCAAAATTACTTTTAATGATGATGATGCATCCTATATTTGGTATGCATTGGAATTAGGCATCCTCATGGAAAGATACGAGACAATTTTTCTATCACCTACACTCCATCTGCAAATAAAAAGAGGTAAGTAATTATTCTCACACCCGTATTCCATCTGTAAATAAAAATTAGGATTAATATAAAAATTAGGGTTAATTGTAAATTTGGTCTATGAAATTTTTAAATTTTCTAATTTTCCTTTTTATACCATAAGTGTCCTCATCCTTTTATATTAATTACGCTCGCATTGGGTCAGACCCATTGAAGGGAAGCGCTTCCAACGGAAATTTTCTCCTTTCTTATCATTGATAGCAAACAGATTAACAATATTTACCTCTCCTCTTTCCTTTCTCTTCAATTCCAAATCAAACTTCTCTTTAAAATTAGAAGAAGAATCCAAAATTGACAATAAAAGATTTGACTACTTTTCAACAAAAAGATGGATATTGTTGTTAAGATCACAAATTTGACAAAATGGTCGAAACGACACACTTATTTAATCTTATTTTCAAGGCAACCACTATTCATGTTTTGTTAAATTCTTGTTGCTTATTATGGATGGCACCTTCAGCAACTAGACATCTCTAATGCCCTCCTCCCATAGGAAGTTAGAAGATATATATATATATATATATATATGTCTCAACCATCTAGGTTTAATATCACCTATATTTTATTTGAAAACTAATTCATTATATGGTTTGGAACAGGCACCTTGAGCTTGATTTAAACGTCTTGATATTTTCTTAATTCAATCTATTGGATTTTGTTTTGTTGATTCTTTCCTTTTTATTTACGTCTCCTCTTTAACTATTCTTTATATGCTAATTTATGTAGATGATATTGTACTTATACCTAACCGTACAACTCATATTTCTAATGTTATTTTAAAATTATAGGTAGAATCTCCTTTACATGTTCTTGGTCACTTGTCTTATTTCCTTATTATTAAGTTCAATACAAGAAACTAGGATCATTCTCAATCAACAAAATATGTTTTTAGCTTGTTATCTCATATAAACATTGGTAGTGCCAAACCAACCACCACAACTATGGCCTCGTCTCTCCTCTACTGAAAACTAAAGCCATTCCTTTTCATAACAAAGAAATTTACAGAAAAAGATCTTTACTATGTGACCATTACTCGTCCAGATATTGCATATACAGTACCCCATCGATGAGCATTGAAAAGTTGTAAAAGGATTTCCGTTGATATCTTAAAAGTACTTTAAACCACAGACTGCGTTATTCATCTTTTGTAATTGTCAGCTCAACATATAATATATGTGATAACTCATTATTGAACATGATAATAAGCTTGTAGTGAATTGGCTAGGAAATATAAAACCTTTTTTGAGTTATTATAAGAGCTTGACTAAGTACAAATTGGAGGTTAATCGTTCATATTTATAGAAAAACTAATTTTATTGCTCATTAAATAATAAATTAGGGTTCAAATTTCATAATAGACGCCTATGGTTGCATTCTTCTCCTTCAAATTTCTGTCTTTGGTTCGACCATAATATCAGTAGCCGTGCTTGTTGTAACCGTGTTAGTCAATTTTGTCTTTTGAATTTTTTTGCTCCCTTTGTACATAGCAATACAAGGTTTATAATTTCTAAAATGTATAATTAGTTGTTTATAAGCTTTTTATAAAGGAAAATCATACAAATATTGATAAAAAAAACATGATATATAATTTTAAGACAAGAAAAATGTGATTAAAGAAAGTTTTTAATATATTTTTGCAGAGATTATGAAAAAGAAGATATTTAAATATTATCTACCATTGTTTGGAATTAATAAATTCCATAAAATTTTGTGAAATTCATTTATAGATCTAAATTTTATGTTTGGTATTGAAAACCAAATGAAATTTTAAATTCTATGAATATGGATATAATTAAATAAAATCTATAAAAAAAGATGAAATTTTCAAATGAATTCCTTATATTTAAACAACTCAGAAATTTATGACAAAACTATCTATCCCCTTAGCCTTTTAAAATTATTATGCTAATGGTACTTTAGAAAAATAAATAAATGAATTTTCAATTTTGAATTCATTACAAACATGAAAATAAATTTCATTTACAAATGAATTCATTTATAGCGAACGAAATTTATAAAAATCCAATTATTTGTTAATGTTTAGAATTGAAAAAATACTTAATTAAATTTATTGGTCGATGAATAAAGGAATTTTTGGTATACTCTGGAACTGTTAGTATAAGATAAAAAACCCATTTTAATTATAAATTAAAACTTTTGTAAAGTTAAATTTTACTGTCTATATAATTTTGAAATTTTTTCAAAGAAAATCCATTTTGGAAGTTATTATGCAAGAGCTTTCATATCAGTAAATTTCAAAAAATTGTGAAGCATCTAATATACAAAAAAAAAATATATATATATATATATTTTACAAATTATTTAAAACTATATATAAATTATTGATTACATATATGTAACAATTAAAATAAAGAGTGTATTAGGCAAAAGAGATGAGACTAAATTCAATTTTATTTTTTAAAATTTTATCGACTTAAAATTTTTATTTTCATATTTACCATATATATATATTTTTTAATATAATATATTAGGAGTTCCTTAAAAATTTCAAATCAATACAAATAATATAGGGAGGACATGACCTTCTTCTGAAGATAAAACATATAACAATATTATTATAACTAAAATAATTATTATTCGCTGATTTAATAAGAAATTCTAATAAAATTTGAAATTTGAATTTAAAAATATTAATAGATCTTCAAAGTAGCTAGCTAGATAAACTCTTTGAATCTCCTGTACATGGCCTAATATCTATGAACTAATTGTTTATGATGAACACACATAGGGTTTGAATCATTAAATCCAATGGAGGAACAGACCACACTATTAAGCTCTAAAAGACTCATGAATTGCACACATGTCCAAATAAAACACAAATACTCCACATAAAGTGAAGAGATCACAAACTCCACACAAAATGGAGATAAACCGCGAAAAATAGCATAAACATAAGTAATATAAATTATGTCGAATGGGCATAAATCTATAACGTGTTTAACAAAAAGAACATAAAAATTTGCAACAAAATCAAAAATAAAAGGGAGAAATTGTTACAAGAGACAAAAATCAGCCTCCTCCTATATCTATATATTAGTTTTTGTGTTTCAATGGAGAAAATAAAAGAAAATTCTAACCAAGAAGGAAGAAAGAACGCTGTGCACATTCCTAGTGGATTTTCTTATCCAATCTTAGTTGATTATGCTTTGATAACTAATTGCATCTCGTATTTACCATATATAAAAAATTAAAATTTTTATATAAAATAATTAAATTAAATATTATATTATTCAATAAAATTTAGTTGAACTCAAATTTATAATTGCTGTTGATTTGTATCAATGTGGTAGACTTGGTGGGGAAGTAACTGAAAATCAGATAAAAGGTTTCTTTCCTCCAAACACAGCCTTAAACTTCGACAAGTACTTCCCAATCCAACGGTTCAGAAACTTCCGCGAAACGTGTTCTACACTTCACAGCTCGAAAACTAGTTCGACATTTAAAACATTTGGGCTTTCAGAAATTTTTGTGTGCCGTTTGAGGTTCAAACTTTGGTCCCGACGTTCACGTCAGCGTTAAACCGCCGTTAAGAAATAGGGGTTTTAGAGCTCATGAAAAGGCAAAAGCTGTCTACAACGGCCTTTAACGGAGACGGTCGGTGCTAATATATTCGTTACATATAAATCTACTCTCTTCTATTGTATTATTCTCTCTCTCAGTTTCAACGGGCGAGGATTTTTCGAAGCAAAAGCGCTTTTGTTTTTCTGTTTTCTTCGCAAGAGAAACGTTTCATTTATCTTCTCTTCTCCCTTTGGCTCTAAAACGGGGACAGTTTCTATTTCTCTTTTTGTCTCTCTCTTTGGATGAGCTCGACTTCGATTCCCGCCACTTCAGAGGTCAGCTCCTTTTCACTTTCGCTCAATTATGTAGTTTTTGTTCAGTTTTTCAAAGTTGCTTTCTTTTTTATGGTTCTTTTGTATCTTCAGTTTTTGATCGTGTAATGTTTATTTGTTCGAGGTTTAAGTAGCTCTGATTCGGAAATAATATTTTTTTTAATAAAAACCCTAAAATTCGATGCAAACTTGATTTCTTTTGATCTAATTACTGATTTATAAGATCTGGGTTTCGTTTGTATCTGTATTTGGTGTTGTGGGATTGATTGTATTGGTCTAGAGTTGGGGTTTTCTAGGGTTTTGTTTTGTAGATTAGGATCACTCGTTGTTTAAGTTTTTATGCTTTCTGTTCTATTTGTATGATTAAATATTAGCATTAATTTGTTGGAAAATTTGGTTTTAGAGATGCTTATAGAAGAAAGAAGATGGATGAGGTGAAGATAGAAGAGTGCTGCCTTGAAAATAAGCAATTAACAGCGGCTTCCAGCTCGTCTCTATCTGAAGGAAGTGGCAGTGCTATTCTCAAGTCTCCTGGAGTATCCAGTCCAGCCACAGCTTCACCAACTCATAATAGGTCACTATTGAAACTCCCTTTTATTGTTTCTTAGCAAGCTGCGCTTTCTCTCACTTAGTGATTTTTGTAAGTCTAATTGGACTTGAGTGTTTTACGTTTAAATTTTACTTAAAACCCAAATGATGAATCTGGAATTTGGGTTGCAGGAGAACCACTGGGCCAATTCGGCGAGCAAAAGGTGGCTGGACTCCAGAGGAGGTATGCGTTTCTTGGATTTACTTTAACTCACACATATATCATAGAATATTTGAAAGGATTGATTATATTTAGAATTTGTTTATGTTTCACTTTTTCTCTAAGGTTGTGGTTTTCCAAGAAGCCTGTTGTGTCTAATCTGGAATAGCTTGATATTTTTGTTAAATTATTGCTCAACCTTATGCAAACCTTAATACCAAGCTAGTGGAATCAACTACATCAATCTTGTTCCTTCATTTCTGGGTTACATCTATAGAAAGATCTGGTATAATTCCTTTTTTTACCACTTCCTCCATTTCAAACTACATCTTCTTCTCAATTTCTTTTTCATTTTTTTAATATATTCAATCTGCTGTTATTGTGCATTAGCAAGTTTATGTGCACCCGTCCAAACCATCTCAAACACTAGGGCTGAATTGAGCTAAGCAAAACTTTGCTTGTTTAGCTTATTTATATACAAGATATCTTCGTATTTTTGTTTATTATTTTTTATGCATAAATATACTTTTTGAAAATTATTGGCCAAAAAAATAATTTTCAATAGTATAATAGTTAATGTTTACACATTTATTATAAAAAAGTATTATTATAGTTTTTGACATATCTATTTTAGTTTTTGAATAAATTTATGAACTATTAAATTTATTATGTAAATTGATTAAAAAAAAAAAAGTGTAAGCTCGATTAAACTCATCTAGGCTTGCGAGCTTTACATGAGCCTAATGGTACTCAACTCAGTTTGGCTTGGCTTGTTTAATAATGAGCCTAGCTTGATCTAGTCAAAGCTCGGCTCAACTTAATTCATTGTACCCCCTAAGTGCTCTTGACGCTGCCTCCTCAATGAGTGCCACTTCCACCTTCCCAAAAATGTGTTGATTCGTCATCTATTTCATATTTGCATTCCGCAATATCCATCTTAGGATCCATATTAAAGTATTACTGGCTTTGCAACTAACATATAGTAGTATTGATGTGTACATGTGGATCTTCAATTGGTGTAAATCATCCACACTTTCATATATCTGATGTTTTTGTTCAAATTATGTAGCTGCTTTTTGTGTAACCTCCTCTAATTCTTTCGAGCATTTTCTTGATATTCTGCGCGTTAGTTAATTGGTTAAAACTTGTTCGTTTTCTGATGCCAGTCGATCTCAATACTGCGGTTTAACCGTGTGTGTTTGAAGTGCTACATGGATTTTATCCTGGGAGGTAAATTTATTTTAATATGTTTCACTTGTTTTTTTTGAAATAAAACCTTGCACAATTCATATATTTTTCTGAAGTGTTACGTTTCGCAGTAGCAACTTAGATATTTCCCCTTTTGATATGCTATATGTAACTCGTGATTTTGCCTTTTATTTTGAAACTGCTATGATTCTGGACTTTTTTGGCGCATTTGGTCATCTGTAAAGTTCAAAGTGAGAGTTGGTTAGCTTCGAGGATCTGTGGCCAATTTTGTTATTCGGTCATCCTCGCTTGATTTGCTGATCATGGAGTTTGGGGGTTTTCTTATGGGTTTTGGTTTGTTAGATTAGTGATCACATCGTGATTGTTTCTAAGTTTTTATGCTTTCCTGGTTCCTATAGCTTCAATTGTATGAATACCTAAGATATTAGGCCTGCCGATATATAATGATATTTGTGTGGAAAATTTGGTGTGTTTAAAGAGGATTGTCCTTATTTTGCCAACGCGAAAGAGTATGGACTGAGGGTTGAGAGATTAGAATGTGTGCTCTGGGCTCTTTCTGCGAGAGTAGGTCATTATTTAACTAGGGCGCGCCGAGCTCGTGCTCAATATCTGAAGGAAGGTTGGCAGTGCGCTATTGCCCTCAATAGTTGCTCACAAATGGAAATTAAGGAAACCTGTTATCTCCACTAGGTCCAGCCACAGCTCACTAAGCGCTTAACATCATTAATAGGCTTAGCTTTATCACACCGTATTTGTATACTCCCTGTTTATTGTGTTTCTCTTTGCACTGAAGTCATTGTGCGCTTTCTCTCACTTGTGGATTTTTGTAAGTCTAATTGACTTAGAGTGTTGTTTTACGTTTTAAATTTTTAACTTAAAACCCAAATGAATGAATCTGGAATTTGGGTTTGCAGGAGAACCACTGGGCCAAATGTCCCGTTTGGTGACTCCGCAAAATTGGTGGCTGTCGGAAACCTCCAGAGGACCAGGCTATAGGGCGTCTTCCTTCTCTTCTTGAGAAATAATTCTTACTTATTTTAGACTCAACGACATGAATAATTCTATGAGGTGAATGCACCATGCTGATAAGGATTTGATTTAGAATGTAATTTAGAATTAATTGAATGTGTTACTAGATTTCACTTTTCGCACGGCTCGGAAAGGTGTGTTTGGTGTTGATTGTCTCACACCCTTACATAGGAAAGCGGCCTGGTTTGGTGTTCTAGGATCACTTTGGAATAAGCCTTGATATTTTTTGTGTTAATGTGTATTCCGCGGTGCTCCAACGCTACTGTTAATGCACCAAGACTGAAAGCTTAATATCCGCACCTAAGCTAGTGGAATCAACTACAATCAATCGTTGGTTCCTCTTCCATTTCTGGGGGTTAACATCTCTATAGAAAGATCCTGGTATATAGTGAGATTCTTTTTTAGAAAAATACCGACTTCCAGCTCCCAATTTATTCAATACTTAACCTAAATAATCTTACTTCTCAATTTTCTTTTTCATTTTTTTGAATATATTAACAGAAATCTGCTACTGCTTAATTCAGTGCTATCCCTTTAAGCTCAAAGTTTATTGGTCACTGCTCAGCCTGTGCTTGCCCAATTATACCTATCTCCTCAAAAACCTAGGGCTGCATTATTGAGGCTATAGCTAAAACTTTTGGCATTTGTTTTTAGCGTTATTTATTATACGGACAAGATATATGGCGCAGAAGATAAGTTCTGCTTCGTATTTTTGTTTATCTCCATTTTTTATGCATCAAATGTTACTTTTTGTGAAAATTGATTAGGGTCATGAAAACGATAATTTTCGAAATAGTATACTATATGTTTCTTAGATCGTTTACAAGGACAGTTTGTAATTAATACGCCAAAAAGTTATTGTATTAAGTATAAGTTTTTGCAGATATCTAGATTTGTTAGTTTTTGAGAATTTAAATGGTTTACTTGAACCCTTTAGTTTAAAACAGCTTTGTCATTATGTAAAGTTGAAATTATAAAAAAACTAAAATAAAAAAAGTGGTAAAGCTTCGATTAAACTCTCTCTATTAGCTATGGCTTTTTAGTATATTTAAGTTATTAGGGCTCGAGGTGTTTTTATATATGAGGCCCCTAACCTCGGTACTGTTGTTTTGTGTTGTAGATCTGTCCGACTAACTCTCAGCGTTCAAGCTCATTCTTGGTCTTTGCTTTTTGTAATTCCACTAGAGCCTATTTATGCCTTTGAATCTTTTTAGTTTCTTACAGAGTCTACGGAACCTTACAATCTTTTAAATTTCATTTTTGTACCTTTCTCCCTAAGTTTGGCTCTTGAACGCTGCCTTCTCTTTCAATGATGTTGCCACCTCCTACCTCTAGCCTTTCCCAACAATAAAATGCTGTTGATTCCGCTTCGTCGCATCTTATTTCAGTATTTGCATTCCGCAATATCGCATCTTAGGATCCAAATATTAAAGTAATCTACTGCTTTGCAAACTAACATATATATCTTAGGATCCATATTAAAGTATTACTGGCTTTGCAACTAACATATAGTAGTATTGATGTGTACATGTGGATCTTCAATTGGTGTAAATCATCCACACTTTCATATATCTGATGTTTTTGTTCAAATTATGTGTTAGTATTGGTGTATATCTGATGTTTTTGTTCAAATTATGTGTTAGTTGCTATTCGTTACATTTTTTTCCTTCAAGTATCTGTTTCTAATGATTTCAATATTTTTTGCAGGATGAGACATTAAGAAATGCTGTTGCTGCTTTTAAGGGGAAAAGTTGGAAGAAAATAGGTCCCCCTCTTTCTTTAGATGCCTCATGTTAAAATGCTTTAGCTACTGAGAAATGTGTTCTGGATTCTTGGAATATATTTCGTTATTATGTTCTGGATATTCAATGATGTGTATGAGTGCTGGTGCCTGTTAGCATAATGTGCTTGCTTGCTTAGCATAATACTGAAATGTGGAGAATAAAAAGATACATCCAAGAAAACATCAAGAAACTGACTCCCGTTCCCTGAATCTTAAAATTATTGTTGTCCAGGATATTTGACATACAACCAACACTTTCTGCATAGTATAAGGACATACATATTGTTACTTGCAAGCACTTGGAGCATACGTTGAGAAGATGCTAGTATTGCTTCTAAGTTAATATGGATAAATTGTATTTTCTCGTGCAATGAAAACTATGTTCTAGTGGTATTGACACATGCAGCTGAAGTTGGTAGAACATTCAGTGATCAAATGCTTTGGTAACAGAATTGTTGAGGGGAGTAATAAATGATTTTGTAGCATAAAAACATATATAGGTGTTTACCGTTGGTTTTTTACATACAATGCGTGATCTTACATGTAAATCATATCTGTCTGTATGCAGCTGAGTTTTTTCCAGATAGATCAGAAGTGCAATGTCTGCATCGATGGCAAAAGGTTCTTAATCCTGATCTTGTTAAAGGACCATGGACTCAAGAGGTAGGTGCGGGGCCAAATCTATGTGACTATCTTTTCTTGAAGGCTACAATTTAAGCATCGGGTGATTGTTTCTTCTTTTGGCTATAAAATCAAGCAGTGAAGTTTATTTTGTATTTCATTCTGCAGGAGGACGACAAAATAACAGAACTGGTCGCAAAATATGGACCTACAAAATGGTCAGTCATAGCAAAGTCTTTGCCTGGTCGCATAGGGAAACAATGCCGTGAAAGGTAACTTTCATAAGTGAAGATAATTAACTCTGGGTTGATTGTGCTTAACTATCCCTGCAATGATGAGTGGTGCATTCCATTTATCATTACCTTCCCCTCTTGGTTTAACGAAGGGCACATGAAAATCCCTTAGTTGCCAGTATATCCTCATACATAATGTTTTGCACACATGCTGACATCTATTTCTTTTTTATTTATCATTTTAAGGTAAAGCAACAGGAAGGGTGCAAAAGTTTTTGGTTGATTTATATATTCATTAAAGTCTTTGTTTCAAATGTTTGTATAGGTGGCACAATCATTTGAATCCTGATATTAAAAAGGATGCTTGGACGTTAGAAGAGGAGTTGGCTCTCATGAATGCCCATCGGATACATGGGAACAAATGGGCTGAAATAGCTAAAGTTTTGCCTGGAAGGTAGTTGTTCTTGCTTAATCTGTAGTTGTTCTTGCTTAATCTGTAAATGTCGGGTAAATATTAATACATAAGGTTTTAACTGGAAATAAAGTTGGTCAATTCAAGAACTCTTGATGTTAAAAAAAATTTAGCGTTCACATTCCTTTTAGTATGTTGGAGTCAGTAATATTTGTTTATTTATCTGGTGGTGCGATGTCAAAAGATTTTCAAGTTTATATGCAATTAGATGGTAAAGTCCATTGTCTCTCGCTTGCAGGATATGCTTTTCATTACCGACGATTATGCTTAAGAATCTGAAGTGTGAAATTCTATTTCTACTATATTTTATGAGAATTTTTTGTTTTGTCATATAATATTTGAATTTTTCGGGTTAAAGGTGAAGTTGTTGCAGTTTCAGTTGTTTGATTTAATTTTGTAAGAATGATGGATTCTGAATTTTGAAATCTTTTCATTTTATTATCAATGGTGTTTTGTGGTTATAGTTCTGTAATCTGGATGAAGTCATAAAGTAAAGAAATGACAAATAAAACTCTGTTTGGAAATTAAGATGGATCCTATCTTAACCTACTCTACTACATTTGTGGATGTCAACGAAATAACCCATCTCGCTCCGGAAAGGGAAAGGACGAGAGATTCATTGTCAGCACCAGAAAAGATCTCTTGATTCCTCGAGGCTGGGATGGTCCTTTATTAAACAGAATGAAGTTATGTTAAGTGCCTTAAAATTGCATTTTGTCCCACATTTTAGGTCATAAATGGTCTTTTGGCCCAGTGACCCTCTCCTTGTGCAAGGAGGGAGGCAATTGGTAAGAATCCTGATAGTGGGAGCTGTCTCATGGAAAGTTCTTTACGAACCATAAGCTAATAGTTGCATTTTATTCAACCTAATTCTCGAATTTGACTCAAATTTTGTTTGCACAGGACCGATAACTCCATCAAAAATCACTGGAATAGTTCCTTGAAGAAAAAATTAGATTTCTATTTAGCTACTGGAAAACTTCCTCCAGTTGTCAAGAGTGAGATAATTTTTTCGTCTCGAAAACCTTCTTCAGTTGCAAAGAATGGTATCCAAAATGGAAATGACAATATTCATAGGCCAACTGTCACCAAAACAAGTAAAGAATCAGATTCAACCGCGCAGACTTCATCAGGAACTACTGATGTATGCAAGCTAGAAGATGTCAAGGATCAGTTGGAGTCATCAGCTCCAAGGCGAGATATGGCAGCTTCTTCAAGTGTTCTTCCAAATGAATCTGCTGATTCTGAAGGGGTAGAATGTAAGCCCCAATCTTTTATTGCAGATCTTAGTTGCTGTAATTCAGAGTCACTACGGACATGTGAGAATTGTGGAATCAACTGTGAAATTGTTGAAGACAAAGTTATTGGGTCTCAATATGGTTGTTTGTATTATAAGCCACCACAGTTAGAAACTTATACTCCACTAGATTTGGATCCCTTTGTTATACATCATTTGCAGCGTGAGTACAGTTCTAGCCCAATGTCTTCTATTAGTTTCTTCACTCCACCTTGTGTGAAGAGTAATTATTTAAATGCTCAAAGCCCTGAATCGATATTGAGAATTGCTGCTAAGAGCTACCCCAACACTCCATCCATATTTCGAAAAAGAAAAATAGGAAGTCAAGTACACTCAGTTCCCAGTAAAATTGGGAAAGGAGGTCAGGAATCTGTTGAAGACAGGTTACAGAGAACTGAGAGAACTCCAGAAAAGATTGAGTCTCAAGATGGAAGTTCTTGTTACAGCCCTCATCCAGATGATAACACCATTGGATGTAACGGTAAAGCTTTCAATGCATCGCCACCGTACAGGTTGAAATCCAAGCGAACTGCTGTTTTCAAATCTGTAGAGAGGCAGCTTGAGTTTACTTTTGAAAATGACGGATGTGACGGTGCCAAATCTGTGGGATTATCTGCGAAAGGGAGCTCCCTCGTCAGTGAAGATTGTTCTCATGCAACGAAGATGGGAGTAACCTAGAGCATAACCTGTAAGTTACAATTTTACCTATCGGGCAAGTTCTTTTATTCAAAATTTTTGTTCAAACTATGGGTAGTATTTTTAATTTCTTTGCCATAGTTTTGTACTTTAGTTTCACCCTTACACTTTTAGGATTGAGGGTAAAGGTATGTAAGGAAAGGTAAGTGGAGGAGGGATACCCTTGACTTCTTGTTTGGGAGAGTTTTAATTTGAGAATTTTGAGAATTAAGGATAAGGAATAGTTTTAAACCCCAAGTTGGGGGGGGTGTAAGGAAGGTAGTAAACTAAATAAAAGATTACTGATGTGCTTGTCTATTACATCTTGCTTTATGTTGTTTAGAAACAAGGATATGTTTGTAGATATCACACTTCATTGTTAATTGTAATTAACCTTGCTCTGTTCCTCCCAAATTAACCTTGTTACTGTACGAGGAGGTTAAATTTTAACTTTCTTTCCCATCCCTTTGATAAATCTCCCTTTTCCTTACAAAGTGTAGAGGAATGCCTACAAGTAAAATTTGAGTGGGTGAGTGTCCCAACTAGAATTAAAGATCTTTGGGTTTATTTTGTTCATATCTTCTTTTGTTGTAAGCGCAAAATGAATGTTGTGTCCCAAGCCCACTTAAAGTGTCATTTGATACTAGGCAAAGATTTAGATGATCATTTATTCATTCCAATTCTAATAACCAACACATTGTAATCGTTGTATGGAAAGCATTTGCTTACAACCTTAACAAGAATACAGTGGAAAGTGAACTCAAATAAAAAGTTTATTTTATATATATTTTATTTCTAGTTATGGTTAATTCATTACTCTTCATGCCTAATATATACATAGTGATAGTACTTCTATTTTTTCACAAGACTATAGTAAACTTATTATAATAAGATTTGGATCGTGATAAAAAAAAAAGTCAATTGCCAATTAGAAAAGTTACACGTATAGGAAAAATGAAGTCAATGAATTGTAAAATTATTGGTTTTGTATTAAATGCCTAACCTAATGAGCTATATCCACTTTTTTCATGACCTAAACTGAGAAAATTAAAGAATTAGGTAAAATTATAAAAATACTAGATAAGCCTTTCTTGGTTACTAGCCTTTTGCAAAGAGCAACGACAAAAGAAAAGAAGTGTGATACAAATTCTTTTTCAATTACTCAAATTCAAGTCTCACCTATTAATTCTTCTTCAATTACGTAAGTGTTCCCAATGCAAAAAGAAAAGTCCGGGACATGCAACACACTACTTATCTTTCATTACATTCTTGTGGAAGATACAAGTAATAGGTGAGAGTTGAATTTGAGAAATCATTTCTTACCAGATATCCCAATAGTTTCTTTTATTTCTTTGTGCATCTTCCACAAGGTATGATGCTGCTAGAAAAACTGAAGGAATTTGTCTCTTGTTTAAAAGCATAATGCATGCACTTCACAACATCAACATCTGTATATTATAGTGAGGAGTTGTAATGCCGATAAACTTCTTAAGCATTTCTGCTTTTTCTTTCTTCTAGTATCATGAGTCAATAGTTAGAATTACCATAGACCTCCTAATCAAAATTAATGTTACAATTTGTATAGAAACCAATTGAGAAATGGAATGTTGATGTTTTCTAAGGCTTGTGCTCATTTTCTGCTTTTGTTTCTTCTAGTATCATGAATCCATTGTTATTGTTGAATTATCATAGACATCACTAATCGAAGTTAATGTTACATTTTGCATAAAAACCAATTGAGAAATGGAATGTTGACACCTTTCAAGGCTTGTGTTCATTTATGATTTTTGTTGGAAGTTGTGCCTGCATTCTTATGGAATTTGTTTATGCTGATTGTTTATTATTGAGTTATCATGGAGATCAAAACAAGAAAACAGAGTTTTCTAACTTCGCTTTTTGATCGACTTTCAGGGATCTAGAATGGACATACTCTTGAAAGGTTGGATGAACAGGGACAAAAATCATAAAGCTGTTCGATCTTGGTGGTAACTGGATTTCAAAATCATAAGGCTGGTTGAACAGGGACAAATTTGGATACGCTCGTTAATGCATGTCTTCAACACTGGTCTAAGTCGATCATCTTCCAATTTAGACAATTGCACCCCTTTTTTTGTGTACATGGGGGACTTCTGTTTTCCATTACACCACCCTGAGCCAAAACCACTGGCAGAAGACTTGTGGTATGTGTAGAATAAGAGATTATATGTCCCAATTGCTCTTGGGTAAATATCCACTGTAACAGCTTTGTACAGACCCCACTTTTAGAGAAGAAATGATGCTCAAGAGAGAAGCCTTTTCTTTTATCAAGTTTTTTCAGTTTAGAGAAGAAATGTGCAGTACTTTGCATGGATGTGCACTTTTCCCAGAACTGCTTATAGTGCACAATTGATTTTTGGGAATCAAAATGGGAATACAATTTTTTTTTTAGAACTTTATTTTTTGGTCATATAGAATAATTTGAATTTAGTTTGAATAATATCACAAAATAATACTTGCCTTTTTAATGCATATAGTGAGTGAAATACAAATCTACAATAGGATAGAAGCCTTCATTTTATATATAAACTTGTGATATACCAAGCATGGTGATTGACGGATTGTGTAATTTTGTGTTTTTTAATTGATTTACATGGACAATTTTTTAAAAAATTAAAGAACTTTTATTCAAAAATAATTTGCTTATGTATTTTAATTAAATAATAAAAAGTGAAATCATATGTTTCTTTGAAAAAGATCATATATCTTTGAATTCAGATTTCATCAGGTGTTGGATGGAATTGGGTCGAATGAAATATTACCCGCTTTTCTTATTATGCTTGAAAACCTAAAATTTTCTAACAATAATTAAAAATATTATATGGTATGACAATTAGAAGAGTCATTAACAATTTGTAAGCGCAAAAAAGGTTCAGACTATTGGCTGTAATATTCTAAGTTATATTCTTTTGTTTGATGTAGAAATTTTTTTAAAAAAAATAGATGAAAAACTTGTATATAATGATTTAAAATCTTAACGGAAAAGAAAGAGAGAGAAAAATAAAGACAGCTGTATATCTAGAATTACAATCAATAATTTAGAAATATAAGAAAAATACAAAATTACATTTCATGGATTGGATTTGAATCTGATTATGCTATATTCGTATCCAATTTATAAATTCATATCGATCCATCACTAAATGGATCGGATTTTATCCGCTCCATTCGGATCGGATTGGATTGAATATCCACTGGATCAGGTCATTTAATAATCCCTATCTTTATTATTACTCTTTCTATCTACAAATATAAATCGTTTTAGGAAAATTATTTTGTCTGCATTATAAATCATTTTGAAAATATCAACAAGTAATTACTATTTTTTTTCCCTTGTTTATGTTAAATGCAATAATTATTTCTATAATTTTTTAAAGAGTAATTACTGTGGTTAAATTAATAAATACTTTGATATAGTTTAGGAGAATTAATTGTTTTTTTAATTACCATGCAATATACAGTTTATATTCATAGACCGAAGAATTTTTTTTTTTCTTTTGGGATTCTCATATATTCAATTAAAATATTTATTAATTTTTTATAATTAAATGATGTATAAGAGGATTTAATTATAATGCAATAAATTTTAATGAACTAAAATTATATTTTAATTCTATTGGTTGTCATATTGTTGTAACTCCATTATTTAGTTAATAGTTATTCATTATAACTCCATTAAATTCCATTAATTCCATTAGTTTGTAACTCTATTATTTAACAAAAGAACTTAACATTTATTACATGCAAAAAAAATAATAAATTATAATAAAATCCATTACAATTCTATATTAAATTGCATTAGTTTGTAATTCGGATATTTAATTAATTTTTATTAATTATAACTCTCACAGTAACTCCTTTAATTTCATTAATTTATAACTCCACGCATTATTTAATAAAAAATTTAATATTCATTAAATGAAAAAAAATAATTATAATGATAACCATTATAACTCCGTTAAATTTCATTACTATCATTTAATAATAGAAAACTTAATGTTTATATAAAAAAAAAAGATTAATTATAAAGAAAAAAAAAAAAAGATAAAATGTCATAGTACTACATGTTCTAACATATTACCACGTCGACACCCATACTTTAATAATAATAATAATAATAATGTGAAAAGTGCAATGTAGTCAAATTTTATGAGTTAGCAATGGAAATTGATTAAATTTGCATTCTATTGTACTTGAAGTAGAACAAATAAATTTTATTTTCTCATTCAAGTATACTTTTGTGCCCATATCAATCCTTGAAAGACTAGAATGTAGAGAACCAAACTCATCAACATTTTCCTGAAAATAACCTTTTTTTTTTTTTTTTTTTTTTTTTTTTTTTAAGGGAAATTAGTGGGGGGGGAAAGGGAGTAGTGGGGGTGAAGGGGGTAGAATTGCAAGGGGAGGAAAGCGAAGACAGGAAGAAGATAAAAGAGAGTGGAATGATGAAGAAGGCGGAGAGAAAATCAGTAAATTGAGCGAGATAGACAGAGGAGGGTGAAGATGATGAGAAGGGACTATATAGGTAATAAAGTTGATGTGGAAAAGTTAGGCAGAAAATGAGAGAAGTTTGTAGGAAGTCGAAAGATATTGAGATTTGCGAGCTAAAGAGTATATTATTAAGGATGTATAATTTTGACTTAACAGTTGGATTAGCGGATGAAGCGGAAAGGACGTAGCATAATGGGTACTAGAGAGTGTTAATTCCCTCGGAGAGTAGGGGAAAATGGAAAAGTATGGGGGAGAGGAGATATTCAAGAGGGACGAGTATGGACGGTAAGGTCAAAGAAATAAAATATTTATTGAATTTTTTATAATTATAATGATGTATAGAAGGAAATTGAGATGAAGTAGTAAGAATAGTGGTAGAGTGGGGCAGTATAAGGACATGGAGGAGAGTGGGTAGGGTAGACGAGAGGAGTCAGATCATGTGTACCGATTAAGAATATGAGTGGGTGAGAACCGGGTAAGAGAAATGTTCTAGAGAAGAATGCGCTTGAATATCGTTGATCAGGTGGGGAGTGTGTCGTATTAGGGGAAGTTATGATTGGGTGCTAGGGACTGCGAAGCGAATGATGAATGAATATTATTGGGTGGAGTGATCGGGGAGAGTTAAGAGAATCTTGAGACGACGAAGTGACAAAAGAAGAGGTAGGGGTATAGAAGGGAGGATGATAAAACGGCCGTGATTAATTTGTAAGTTATGGAGATGTATTAGCCGGGAATCAGGTATAGGAGGAGTGAAAGAGTATAAAAAGGAAAGAATAGGAGACATTGGAGGGGGTAAAGGGGGAGAGGATAGGCAGGGGAGGGGGAGTACTAGAAACACGGAATAGTTGGGGATATATAAGCAAGGGAGTACGGGTGACTGAATAGAGAGTGGAGAGTAGAGCGAAATAAAAGTACCAAAAGGAAGATATAATATAAGGGGAGATAAAGCTAGCAGGCATATGCTGTAGTAAATAAGAAATGATAGGATACTAGAAGTAGAGGAGAGGGGAGGGGAGGGTGGGTCCACTTAGTGAATTAGAAGTGGACCACTGTAACTCTAAGGATTGAATTTAACGAGAAACAAGCTTAACATTTATGTACATGCAGAGGAAAAAGGGTAATAAATTATAAAGGGAGGATAGAAATAAGATCCATTACATAGGTGGTGGAACGTCAATAAGACAGAGATTAATGTATAGTTTGCGCAATATAAGATATGTGTATCAGTGATTGTAAATAATACTGGACATATGTTCTAGTTAATTTTTATTAATTATAAAATCTCACTGATTGGTTAACATCCTTTTAATGATTCATTAATTATACTCCTACGTGCATATTAATAAAAATTTAATATTCACTTAAATGAAAAGATAATTATAACTGATACCATTATATGACCGTATAAATGTGTCATTACTATCGATTTAAAATAGAGGATAGCTTATGTAATGTTTATCTATAAAAAAAAGGAATTATAAGAAAAAAAAAAAAGATAAATGTCATAGTAGCTGCATGTTCTAGAAAGGCCATTGAGTTTCCTAGTGTGACGAAAAGGATGCATCGACACCTCATGATGGGACCGGGCGGGCATGTTGAATAATAGAATAATAATGAATATGTGAAAGTGCAATGGGTAGGTGATCAAATTTTAGTGTGAGTTGGCTAAAACACGCGAAAAGTAATTGTGTGAGAATGTTGATCGTTAAGGATTTAGTTGGTGGGTGATCTAACGTCAGGTAAGTATGAGGTATGGAGGGCAAAGATTTAGAATTTTAAAAGATTCTTAATTTTTCTCATTCAAGTGTGTGCTTTTGTGCCCAATATACAAATCCATGTGAAAGCTAGAATGTAGAGAAACCAACTCATCAACATTTTCGTCTAGAAAATTAACCTTATTTTTTTTTTTTTTTTTTTTTTTTTTTTTGGAAGAAGGAAGAGTGATCATTTAGAGATATAATTTTTTTTTTTTTTTTTTTTTTTTTTTTTTGGAAGAAGAAAGTAACTCATTTTAGAAATATAAACCAGATAAAGTATAAGCTTACTTCTAGGACTGTCGGATTGGATTTTACCGTAAACCGGTCGGGACAAAAGAGGGTGTCCCAGAACCCACTCTTTTGTCGTTATCTTCTCAAATGCAATAGAGCTCGTTAGCTTCTTTACTGCTGCTCGTAATAATTAATTCACAATTTACAGTATCATACCAATAAATGTTTCTTTGTACCATCATTCATGTAAGCGACCCAAAGACCATACAACATATCCTTACGTGGCGACAATTATACTACTTGAAATAATAACAAATGGGTATGAAGGAAACTGATACAAATTTTGAGCTCCATCGTCTTCATTTAAAGAAAAACAACAAAAGCTGCAGAAATGATGAAGAATATAAGATATATACAACATTTACAGTAGTAATGCAGTTGGAAATTGTCCTGCACCAATGCTCTCGTACCACTAGCTCAACTTTTACCAGCTAAACAATCCCATTAAAAGAGAAGAGCATTTGAAAAGAGGTTTTGGTCGGGCAAGGAGGAGGGGAAGAAAGAGAAAAAGGGGCTGTGGAAAACCTTACATGGACTTGCTTTATATCTGCTGCTTGATTAAAAAAATAATAAAATAAAGCTGCACAGTTCAAGCAACAGGTCACCTAATATATATGAACTTCATTGTCTTGTTAACATGATTGTAGATGGTCTTGGGGGGGTGGGGCTTCCAGTAACTGTAAAACCATAGAATGTCATTGCTAGAAGCAAGGAAAGGAACATAACTATGAGACTCGGCATTTCTTGATCATCAGCAGAAGAATCCAAAATACCTGCAAAATGCCATCAATAAAAATATTACAGGTTAGGGTGCTTCTGCAAAACACAGCAGCAGAAAGATGGAACTAAACAGAAATTAAGGCCTCATTGAGAAATTTCACATTTTAATATTTGGCATGAATGAAAATGATCGTTTCACTCCTACAAACTAAACTTTTATAATGAATGAAAACGATCGTTTCGCTCCTACAAACCAAATTTTTATGGAATTCTAGCATAACTAAACCAAATCTAAACGAAATATATATTTCAGGCTGAAAACTGAAAGAGAAAACAAAATCCTATTTTTCACACATCTACACAAACAAATCATGAAAAGCACAATTTCATAATACAATCAGGTTCTTGTATCTGCATAAGTGGCATCTCCGCCAGGGCGGGACAAGGTAAACAAGAATACCCTTTATTACCCACCAAACTAGCTAATGTGTTAACTTATGCAGTTGTGATAGCAAAACGGCATTGAACAGTAATAAAAAAACATATTTTTAAGAGATGACATTTGATCAAGATATGCAGGGTCCACAACAAATTGAAAATGTATTAATAGAAAATTTTTTTTTATTTCAAATGAAAAACGACTTTTTAAAAGACAAAATTAGACATAAAAAACTGGAAAAAAAATTGAGGCAATCTTTTGAAACCTAGATTTGGCCCACTTTTGAAATCTAGAAATAATTCTAACACAATCCAAATCAAGAGGCAAATAAAATTATAATGAAAAATAATTGTATATAATATTTAATAGAATATGCAAAAATTTATCATCATTTTTCACTTTTCAAAAATTAAAAAAAACATTAAAAGAAATTTTTATTTCAAAAATGATTTTCATTTTTAAATAAAATCTTTATTTTGTAATCATATTTTTGAGTTGTTATGAGTCCCACATATCTTTAAATAAAATATTTATTTTTATAGATATATTTTCAATCCATTACGGTTCCTAAATATCCCCGTTTGGATGCCAAATCACTAAAAAGAACTTTAAACTTCTATTATTGTTCTATGCAGTATGACCCCCACATCAGCAGAAGTTTAGACCAACAATGCCAATAGAAAAAACACAAGATACCAAATATGCAAATGGGAGAAACCACAAGATAACAAAGCATCATGAAAAACACTACAGAAGCTTTATTTGTAAATAACGAAAAACCATATTTTGTACCCTTTGGAGCATCAGCGTGACAGTTCAGAGAAATCAAGAATTTGGGCTTTTAAACTAGTATGTCAGATCCGAATTCTTCAGAATATTATAGGGGAAAATTATTCAAACAAAATGGTAAACTACCAGCATCACACTTAGGGGTCGTTTCTTTCTTCGTTTCTTTTTTTTCTTCTTCTTCTTCTTTATTAGCAGCCTATTGGAAACTATGTAACTTACGACACAACAACAAAAACAATCCTTCGTCCCAAACTAGTTGGGGAAACTATGTAACTTATTGCATGAAAGTAAAAATTGCCTCCTACAACTGTAAAGTGACAATATACAACTAAGCATTCAGCAATCAGTTATTGATATTACTTCTTAATCACTAAGCTCAATAAGATGTTGATTCAGATTCGACATTCAAATTTCAGCTTAAACAAACCTCTATAGGATCTAGGACAAACTCCTATCAAGAGAGTTTCAAAGGATTATAAGAAGTTCTCTCTTTTCAGACACTATTTCCCATATTTGTTCAGATACTACCAAAAGGGTGCTTTAATTGGCGTGGAGATGAACTCATTAAAAGGAGATAAAGAGAAGAATACTACAAAATAAAGTACAAGCAAACTTAACTGAAGTTAATGTACTGCTTGTCCATCCTTATAAACAGCATCTCAACCCAAGATTCTCAACAAATTCAGCCAACAATAAGATAGGACAATTCCAACATCTTGGCATTTGGCAAAGCCCGTTCAGTACCAATCTGAATGAAGATTCACCAATACATGAAACATCCAGAAAATAGTCAGCAAAAAAATAAATTTAGTCAATCTTATCCAACAGCAAACATCCACCGACAAAAAAGCAAAGATGAACAGACAAAATCCCACAACTACCTCGAAGAATGTCTTCCAAACTAGACCGAGAAGAAAGATCCCATGGTAGTTTGTCCAAGAACTTTAGAACTTCTATCAAGGCCGTGAGAAGCAACCTGTCAAGCAATACTAAATCAATTAAACACAAAATGAACAATAGAACCAAGATATACTCAAACACATAGCATCCATGATACCTAGTATAATACTCATAAATAATCTCTCAGTGTTTTATGTATTTGGCGAAAAGCGAATAATGCAATTGGCAGGTGAAGTGCAGTAAAGACTTAACTTGTTTGAGGACAAGACTCAAAAATGTTAACCAAAGGCTTTCACCTGTCCAGCAGGCGTATCCTCTAATGTCAGTAAGGAAAAAAACAAAGATGTCAAATAGGCTCACCATGTATGTTAAAGCAGCATAACGCTCCTCATTCAAGTACAGAGGCTTTCCTCTATGCATTTCAGTGTCCTGCAAGAATAATTACCATGAATCATCCATTGAAGTATCAAATAAGCTTGATAATAACAAATGAGAAACCATAAAAGCCGTATATTGGTGCACGAGTCATAAAAGTGTGATGAAACATCAGAAAGGCAAAGGGAGCTAAACTATTATAATGACATTTTCTCAGAGATTCAAGCATCTATATGAACTCTGTTCCTCTACTATCCAATTCCATCACAATGATGAGTCAGCAATATCAAATTATTATATATAATACTAATGTTTAGCGTTGACCTCACACCAACATTTGAACATTTAAATTTGTTCCTTTTCTCAATCTAGAGCTCCACCACAAAAGATAAAAGGTATTGGAACAATTAAAAATAATAATAACAATAACAATGATAAAGTTTAAAAGAAGTTGAACCGAAAACTTCAATGGCTGTTTGGTAGAGATGTTTTTAATTTTCGGTTTTTGTTTTCCAATAGTCAAAGAATAATGTAATATCAAAATATATTTACTTTTGTTATTAATAACTTAAACAAGGAAAAAAAAATCGCAAAAACATGTGAAATCGGCAAAAGCAATTTTGGTTTGTTTTTTCAACCCATTTTCCTAGATATAACTTTTTACTATAGAAGAATAGAGACCAAAGACAGAAAACAGATATAATACCGATCAGTTATTTCTGACAATGGGCAAAGAGATCTAGATTTTAAATGGGATAAATGCTCAAATTTTCCCCTCAAATTTTCTTTTGATATCCAATTAGGTCCAAAATTAACTTCAGGACCAATTTAGCCCATAAAATTTTCTTTTTAGATCAATTTAATTTTTACCTGATATTGATTGAACAAGTAAAATATTATGTATTTTTATTTTAAAATAATAAAAACTGCTTAAAAGATTAAAAAATAATTAAAACAATTTGCAAACACTGTCATCTTTTCCCATCTCCATAGCCAATTCCCATCTCCAACTTCAATCAAAGCTACATAATGAACCTTATCCCCCTCCTCCACTCTACCCTATCCCCAACCTCACTCTAAAACTACATAACCATAACCTTCATTGAAATTCAACAATTATTCACGAACACAATTTTGACCTCAAAACCGCTCCACTTTCTGGTTTAATTGGTTTTGAATCGAAGCTTGATGACTTTATCTGCAAACCTAATTGAAAAAGTTGGATAACAAACACCTCTCCTCCACTCTACCCCTTCCCTAACCTCACTCTAAAACTCCATAGGCATAACCTTATTAAAATTCGTTATGTATTTAGAAATCCAATTTTGATCTCAACATCATTCCACTTTTAGGTGTAGTTGTTTTTGAACTAAAGCTGTGTGACTTTTGGCAGTACAAAGGCGGCTGCTGAACTTGCTTTTCTTCTCACAAAATTTCTCATCATGATTTTGCACTATTCTTTCTCTACATGCCTAAGCAAGATAAAATTTTTGGTCTTTATGATTTCTGTAAGGGATTTGAAGGGAAAAAGATTGTGTTGTTTTCAGGTTTCCACTAGGTATCTGAGAAGAAAAGAGGAAGTAGAAAGATCACATTGAGTGTGTTTAGGCAATGATGAAATGGTGCCAGGGATATTTTTCAGGTATTTTTACTTCTTAAATAATTTTTTATAATTTGAAAAATAAAAAATTATATTTTATTATTTTTATAAACAATTGGGCTAACTTGATCTTAAATCAAAAGTTTATAGGCAAATTGATCAAAAAGTGAATTTGGACCTAATTGGACATGTGCAAGTTGGACCAAATTGAGCCATTTATCCTTTTAAATGAAATGATATGAAGCTCATATATCCAGTACACAAAAATTGAGATTTTAGCAAAATATTGATACATAGCTCAATGTTGGAAAACAAATGAAAGATGAGAAGTTTTCGGGAAAAAAGGGACACCTTAGAACACTTAAAGTGTAACAAAATCTCAAGTTTGAGGAATCTGTTGACCAATATGAAAGCAGAGTTGACCACAGAATCTACACCTGCCTTCAGCCCCTAATTGGTTAAGTGCTAAAAGAAAAATCATCATTCAGTGCATGCAATTAGAGGACTCCAAACTCCACCTTTGGCCCTAAGCATGAGACAAATGACAATATTCTAATAATAAAGTGGATATTCATGTTCTATTCATACTTTTGTAAGGTTGCCGCCCATATGCATCAACAAAATCACCACAAAGGAAAAACAGACCTCAGATCTCTATCTATCTCTCTGTCAAACAGAGTCTGCAACTTCATCTATACTACAACCACCCAGGTTGTCAAAATTGCCTTTTAAACTAGAATTAGTAGACAGTCCACAAAGTCGTAAGATTTTACAAACCACCTAAAAATAAAAAAAATTTAATTGATAAAAAAATTTTAATTTATTACTCCAATTCAAAATAGTGAAAGACTATTATATAATAAAAATTACACTAATTTCATCTTCACCAGCATAAGAGGCTCTGTGTCCCCAAATTTTTACTAATTAATTTTTTAACAACTTAAGTTACTAGAATGCATATAAAGAAATCAGCCAAAAAGAGAACCCTATCAAAATTACACTGTTTGAAAGAGCAGAAGAATATACCTCTTCACCAAATGCATCCAAGTAGGGGGATGGCCAAGGTGCCTGACGTGCACATCTCTGTAGCAGAATTGTAGTTCTCTGTGAAAATAGAACTAGCATTAGGTCCTATGAAAATAATAAGAAACACTACAAAAGAATAAATTTACCAAAACATAAAACATAACTAACTAATCTTCCAAAATGTGGAATGATACCTTGATCAACAGAAATACACCTGTTCCCGCCCCACAGGACATCGCATGAGCTTGGCATCCATTTTCCCTTTGGTAGAAGAAAAAAGTTTTTGTCAACTTAATGGCATCACCATGTTTTCTTTCAAAGATACAAGAAAGCCAGAACATGTCCATGTGCATGTTCATCATGCATATAATCCTAATAACAATGATAAAAGCAAGATCTTAACCTGCAGCAGAGCTTCCAATTTGGTGAGCACAATCTACCACACAAAAGGCATAGTGCAGGCTCCTCAATAACATTCTTGCAGTCACCACAACGCTGTTTTATATACCTGAATGAAGCACATATATTCTTACAATTAACTAACTGGAATCTCAATGAAGATAGAGGACCTACTTTAAACATCTGTGAAGAGTAATATTTATCACAAACCTCTCAAGTAGATTCTGGTATACACGAGGGAGCTGCATCAATTTGAACGGGACCGCAGGTGTGCAATGCAAAATGTGTTGAAATCTAAAGGCTTCATATTTCTTGTGGAAGTGATGTAACCATTTCATAACCAAAGATCGCACTGCTTGATCCTTAAGAATAGCATCTATTGGGGGAATCTTGAAAATCTTTTCCAGCTTCTGAACTTCATTGAGTTCAACTATATCACCATCCATGTAGTCTATGGATTCATCGATGCCATGGGATGATCTATTCAGTGCAGAAGAGCTGAATGGTTCTGAGGCAGAAGAACTCAACAATTTCCAAAGCAATGCACACCTCCTCAAGTAAGGGAAGCTCAATCTACGAATTGAATCCAGAGCATCAGAACTAGGATCAACATAGTTCGAAACAAAATATTGCCGGATCCATCCAGATCCCTTCACAACTTTGGAGATGTCAGCAATCAGACAATCAGGTAAACCTGATTCCCTAGTATCATGTTGATGTTGGCCGCAATAAGTAAGTATAGCCTGAATTTCAATGTACATAAATTAGAAAACTGGATTGCAATGGAATGTCAAATTACCAAGAGTAGATGATGTGCATGTATCATACCTGAGCTAGAGAGACTATATAGAAGATATGCATGAGCGATAACAAAGATTCCTCACATGATAAAAATGGATGTGGAAGACAAAATAGCACCCACATCAATGATGAAAAAGCATCATGAGTGAGGATGGGATCAGATGCTCGATTCCAGAATTGCATGTCAGGATATGGTACTTCTTTTTCTACATGTTTCAAAAGGGAAGACATTTCACCTGTTCAGCAAAGCATCAATACCACCAATAAATTATAGTTTCAAGCAAATTCAAAAATAATGAAAAATTAAATTTTATAAGCAGCCTATTCAAAGAAGAAAATGCTATTTATTCCACGAGACCAACTCAACCGGTCATAAAAACTGTATGTTTCATCATTCTAGAAAACTCTCTTCCAAAACTGATCATTATAGAAGTTCATATGATTGATAGCCTGCATTTCATAAATCAAATGCCTAACCCTATAATGAAATATTATATTCAACCAAAAATGACAACATAATGCCAATCTGAAAACAATACACAAAATGATACCCTATATGTCAAAACAAGAAAAGCACTCAGCACCAACTGTATAATGATCATGTGAAAGCCACAAGGTAACAACTCACCTCCCTGTCCAAAAGCAATACCAGCGTGGTCCATTGAAACTCCAGAACATATGGACTCTGCAAAGAGCTGAGTACCCCTAAATCTTTGAAGGACATGAAGAGAGGTCTGACTTCTCAAATTATGCACAATCCTTAGCAACAATGATAGTATAAAACCAGTGGAAGATTTAAGTTCCTTATACAAGGCATTAAGACCATATGTTGGTTTCACATGAGTCCTGCCACACCGTGCAGCAATCTCCACAGATTTAAGGGAATATTTAAGTGTGTCCCACATGATCATGCAATGGTTTACCCTTGTGGACTTTGAGAACTTATCCTGTTGATTTGGGAAATACATTTTGAAGAGCACACGAGAGATTGAATCAAGATTTTGCTTCATTCTTTCATTTCTTTGCAGGGGAAAATTTCTCCATATGTCTCCCTTTTCAACTAAGAATGCAGCAGATCGCAAGAGAGACAAGCCTTGGTTAAGCAAAAGAGAAGTACTTTCCTCACTTGATGTAGCTAATACTGCAGCATTTGTTGGGCTAGCATTTGAAATTATAGGTTCCCTCCAAACCGTCTGGACATTGCCAGGCAATGAAGGCAGGACAGAATTGGCCAGCCGACGGCATACAGGGCAGAGAAATTCACCCTGGATAAAATAAAGGAACGAACAAAAGAAAAGTGACCGCCTGGATCAAACAAAGGAATGGAAAAAAAAAAAGAAAAGAAAAGAGATCCATATATTTATGTTTTTTGTGACACAATAGCACATCAACAATGCCAAATCTTCAAAAGAAGTGGTAGTACCTGATCTGGGTCAACAATGTGTCCTCCTTCAAAAACAATTCTCCTTACATGTCTGTGTAAGCAGCATAAGAACATATTTTAAACCTTTTAATACACAAAAACCAAGCTCATTCTAAAGGTTTCAAGATCACATTGTATTGCAACTTGTTGAAGAATGGAAAAAAGGGAGGTAAAGAAAAATAGAGAGACAAAAATGACAATATAGAGGCATTCCTTTGAAACTTCATGAACAACATAAACTGGATTCAAGACCTCAGAAACCTCAACAAAGGGCAATGCAATTCAGAAATGCTTTGAGACAATGGACTTGACATCTGTTAAACAGGCGATTTAACCAGGTATTAGACCCACGTGTTTTAACTTGTTTTGGGTTGGACCAAAAGCAGACAAACAAAGGAGTCAGGCCTGACTTCTTTAAGTTCAGGAAGCAGAAGCAAGTTCCACCAAAGCAATTGGGACATTGTAATCTCACTGCTTGAACAGTACAAGATAAATCCTTAAACTGCTTGTTCTTTTTGTTTTATATTCTCAATATCTAAGAAACACATATTTATTTTAATCCCCAGATATCCAGATTAAATCTTCGAAGACCATTTGGCTTATTAGGTCCGATGACCATATCAGCTTTAAAGCAGAGTAAAACTAAAAGGAAAACAAGATTTGATGGTGAAACTATATAAATTTTCTTGCCAACGCCACTTACCTTTCCTTCAATGATGATAAATATCGATCCAGGCAATCTTGATGAACAGCATGACCACAGGAGGACAGGTAAACACCATCACAGTCAACTGGGCCAAATCCATCATATGCAAAAACCTGGGAAGTAGATTCTGCCATTGCAATGTCATCAAGAGCATTTCCAGAAGATGAAGGATGCTCAATTATCTCTTTTGAAAAGGCAGCAATGTATTTTCCAAGCAATACAGAATCCGCACTCCTCCTGCTTTTCATACCACTTTCATCTGCCAAAAGTTCTACATTCTTTACTCCAGAACTGGAAAGTACAATATTATCATTCATTTCTTTCCGAATGGACATGTACATATCTTGTTCCAACGTCTCAAAGGTATATGCAGTTCTATCATTCCCATTCTTCAACAAACTAGGCACTTGAGTGTTCCTCAATGATGTAAACTGGCCTTTGATAAATTCTAGAAAATTGCTTATTTCCCCAGGTTGAGCATAACCAGCTAATTCATCGACTGCATTTTGGACCAATTGTGCCAACTGATTAGATGAAATCACACTCGAAGAAGAGTTTATTCCAGCTTGATCAGTGACCTTGTTTATAATTTGAGAGACTTGCTCCTTATCAGACTGCCGAACTTGATCCCAAGAGGGGGGACCTCTGTCAATTAAGCTTAAAACCCTTGATTTCTTCATCAAAAAACAAGTGATATAAGTAAGTTAAATATATATTACAACTTGCAAGTAACTAAAATTTCAATAGTCTGGTTAATGACAACAATCACAGAAGACACACAAAGGACGTGCTTACCTGAAGAAGAATCAAGAAGGACACAGGATTTCTCGATTTAAGATCATGGCATAGGGAACAAACATCTTTTGCAGACTCTATCAAATCCCGTCTATTATCCATGTTGCTTTCTTCTAGTCCAGATTTTGAATCATCATCGTCATCGTCGCCATCATCATTATTGGAATTAAAGCTGGACAAAAACTTGGACTGTTCAGCTTTCATCTTTGCCTGCATCATAGACCAAGTATGCTCAACAAATTAGGTGTTCAAGATTATGTTCATCTTGATTCAAATTGCCCTCAACTTGATCTAGTAGCCTCCATTTTGGCATAAATGAATCTAAAGTGTAGAATTTATTTAGAAATAGATCTCCATTTTTTATGATGGAATTAATATTTACCGAGTAAGAAATCATGCAATATAGGTCAGGGTGAGATTCAGGTAAGTGAACCAAATCAAGATTCAGGTGAGTGAACCTAATCTTTACATCGTGAGAAATCATGCAACATTAACAACAAATTATAAACAGAAATATAGGTTCCTATGATAGAGAGCAGAATTTATTTGTCATTATTTGGAAAAAATAATTTCTAGAAGGAATTCACGTAAAAATGTACATTAAAATCTCACCAATACAGCAGCCTGTCTTTCTCGAGCTTTGGCCTTGCGTTTTTCACTATCAGATGCTGATCCCAGAGATTGAAAAGCACTAGTAGAAATTGATTGTGATAAATAAATGACCACTTCAGGTGCAAGTTGTTGCAGTTTAATCATGCAACTTGAATCTAATTCTGCAAACTTCTTCAATAAGCTTTCAATCAAAGAAGAAAGGTTACAACTGTCTGCTTCTAAAAAGACATCCAAATTCTCTCTCTTGTGCATCCTCATCAATGAGACAAGAAGTGACAACAAGCTCTGATTACCAGCACCGTAATTCAATCCCTCACGAATTTCTTCACAGGCAAAAGCAAGCAAAGGAATAGAACCTCCAGTTAAAGGTGACATGTCCATACGTTCTCTTCGCTGAAAACAAATATCTAAGCCCAACGAGAGCAGGTGCAATGCCATTATAAGAACATCATCAGGAGCACGCGTTTCAGTTACTTTATCAGAGAAAACAGCATAAAAAAGCACAGCTCGTATTATTCTTAGAACCACTTTACAGGTGGCTATTTTAGCTACACCCTTGAGAGGAGGATGAATCTTTGTCCACCTGGGCAGCTGAGTGGTTAATGCTGACACACTACAGTAGCGCAAGTATCTTTCTTCAGCAACTTGCAATTCCCGTGAGTTCCAACGCGGGTGGTACAGATCCAGCTCTTTCCAAAATGTCCAGCGCAAAGAATACATTCCCTAAAGAGTAGAGATATACAAGGAGAAGTGATTCAAACAAATATCTACTCACACCCTGACAAATGTTCTAGGTAACAAAATACAAACCTGATTAAAGCCAGATGGATTAGAGTATACAGCAACTAAATCCAAAATTTCCTGAAGCTGTTCACACTTAGAGAGATCACTAGGCAAAGATTTCACCAACTGACTACGAGTAGCATCTCCAATGGCCAACTTATGAACTAATTCTCTCTTCAAATTTTCAGCAGGAGTTAGCCCAGAAAATCGCCTTTCTTGTACAACTTGTATAATAAGCGTGAGCATTTCCTGCACCAAAACTGGTTCATACCTGAAGAGGCAATTCCCATGCCATAACTTCAATATTCATACATCCCAAGATATGTCAAATCAAATTCAATATGCCGCAATCACACAATAACACAAAACCCAGAATTGAGAAAAGGAATAAAACAGAAAAAGAAAAAGGCAAATGGCAATTATAAAATACAAATGTATTAGGAAAGTTGGCGTAAAATGAACACAAATAGACTGCTTTATCATCAGGACATGAAAACAAAAAAAAAAAAAAAAAAATTAAAAAAATCAAATTCAATATGCCGCAATCCACACATAACACAAAAACCCAGAATTGAGAAAAGGAAATAAACAGAAAAAGAAAAAGGCAAATGGCATTATAAAAAATACAAAATGGTATTAGGAAGTTGGCGGTAAAATGAAACACAAATAGACTGCATTTTATCATCAGGACATGAAAACAAAAAAAAAAAAAAATTAAAAGAATAAAAAAAAAAAAAAAAAAAAAAAAATTAAAAGAATGCATCTACAAGATAAAGTGTTGCCAGCAAAACAGATATTAATATATGTGTGTATATATATACACATGCACATGGGGTATTTAACAGATACAGGTGGATTGGTAAAAACTTGGACAAGAAATCCAAAATCTATCAGACTTAATAAGCAAATCATAAAACATCATGTTTTCAAGGATTTAATCACAAAAATCCTATCCCCCTTTACAATTTAAAGAAGAATGTTAAAAACTTGAAAACACAAAATAAACAATAAAATTGATGAAACCTACATTTCACGTTCATGCACAGAAACAACATAAAGAATACAGCATCACAGAATATCTACAACCATATATTTCAGCTTGAACTTAAGAAGAAGTTTACATACTCGCTGGATCTCTCAGGGTTCAAGGAAAGGTAGTCTGATAGCCCAAATCGTTCTACAATTCTATTAACAAAAAGTTCAGCTGGAGCCAATGCAGCACAGCACTGCAGAAGAAAAAGATCAAGTTCTAAACCTTGTTCAGCCCTGCAAAGACAAAACCACCAGAAATACATGAGCATTAATACTTTAGTCTCACCCACCTAACCACCCCAAGAAGCAGAAAAAAGAAGAACGCTGGGTAAGCTAATCAAGACAATTTCTCCTAAAATTATTAATCAAGTGAAACATATACCCACCAACGTGCTGAACGGTACCATTCAGAAGATAAAATGGCAGCATCACCATTCCTCCTCCACATTCCAGCATGGACCTCAGCACAAAACACCCTATTACGTAAAGGATGCTCCATAACAAATGCAGAAAATCCATATGGGTGACAATTACCAAGGACATGACGAAAGAAATCATCACATGAAGATAATGAAGTCGAAGGGCTTACATTAGCTGTAGTATTAAGAACATCAGAATCACCATAACATTGTCTTAGTGTTTTTTGTAAAAGCAAGGAAAGTAACCGATGTAAAGGAATGTGAACAGATACATCCTGTGAACTAACATCATAAATTATATTTGGCCAATTGGGCGAACTCAAAATACTTGAGGTGTCCAATTCTGTATAACTGTCTGCTTCCATCAAAATCTCATCAGGATTGACAGTTTCAATGTCACCGGAAACCATTTTGCAATCCTGCCCTATACTTTTAGCATTCTCAGAGTCCATAATCATGCTTAAACCAGTAAAAGACTGCTTAGTTTGATCTTCAATTGAACCAGTAAACCCACCAAATATATATTTTCCCTTTCTAATCTTAGATAAAGTTTTTCTCAATGCTAAAAAGTTTTTGCTGGAAGTGCTGGTAGTATTTGAAGATGATAGAGACCCATCAGCTCCCAGCCAATTCTCAATGGCTCTCAAGCACTCATATATTAACCATATAACAGATGAAGGAATTAAACGGTGAGAAAAGGGATCTGCTTTAACTTCAGTAAATTGTATCGCAGACGAAGCACTCCGTTCTGAAACACCGGGCACTGAGCTTTCCTGAGACAGTCGTCCTACTTTTGTATGTCTGCCACTATCTTCCTCATCCATATCTTGTTTATTCATGTAAGGAAAAGTATCATATGTCTCTTCACTAGTAGAAAAAGCTCCATCCACCAAAAGAGAATGAATATTGGCAATAGAATGATCTAAAACAAAAAGTAAATTAATATTATCATTTTCTTCCTCTACATGTTGGCCATGTTCTCTCTTTAGTGGACTCATTCCTTGCAAAAAAGACAGAAGCCTCATCCAAGTTCTCAAGATATCTCTCTGATCATGGGTTACAAATTTGGGCACAATATTATGGCTCATAACAAATCGAATATCTTCCACCACACGAATAGTGGTGTCATACAATCTCTCCCACCGAGTAACCTGCAAAGAGGCAATAATCAACAAACTCAGCCATATGAAACAGAAAGAACAAAAGAAATAAGACAAGCTGAAATTACAGCTACAAAAAGGCATCGACAGAGAAATAACAATAAGTCATCAGCTCCTTAAAGATATCATCAACTCACAGGCATAAGAATGAGCTTTGAAATCAGATAAGAATGCCCATAAGCCTAGCTGCTTTTTCAAATATTAAGTTATTAACTAAATATACAGCAACAACAACAACCAATCCCTAATCTCAAATAGTTGGGGTTGGCTATATGAATCCTTTATTTCAAATATTTGCTCTGACCAAATTAGTGTCAATGTAAATCAAATTATAAGTCACAAAAAATTTAAAACAACTAAATAGGACAAAGTAGAAAATTTTTTGAATGAGAAT